TCAATTAGATTCTCGCTGGATTTGATACTCTTTTAAGCTTCACAATGCACAGATGCACAGTAGAAACTTAACTGTGAGGCATGCAACTTGATTGACCTTGACCTTGGCCTAGTTAATCTGATTTGATGAACCTGATAGATGGATACCTTTGGCATGTATTTAAAAAAAAAAAAAAAAAAAAAAAAAAAAAAAAAAAAAAAAAAAATCTGAGAAAGAAAGAAAATAATGACCAGTTGACGTTCGTAGCCTTTCCAACTCGAGCTATTAAGCCATAGGAGTGTCTCTACACTTAGCACCCTAAAGCCGTCTGGTTTGGGAGTGTTGGCCTAACGCTCGCTACAAGGGTTGGTTAGAAAGCTTAAAGGACTTAAACATTGCACGGTCATTCAAAAAAAATTGTAATAAGCATGGTTCGCTGAAGTTCGTAGCCTTTCCAACTTGAGCTATTAAGCCCTTTGGAGTGTCTCTTCACTTAACACCCTAAAGCCATCTGGTTTGGGAGCTGTTGGCCTAACGCTTGCTACAAGGGTTGGTTAGAAAGCTTAAGGGACTTCAGCATTGCACAACCATTCTATGTTTCGCTTATGAGTTACAATAAATTGTCAACAAGCAACAAAAGTTGTCTTGTAAATAAAATCATGCCTTAGGGACCTCATTTAAAGGGAAATTCAATGATTTGAAAACTTGTGCTTTGGAATTGGAAAAGAAAGTAAAAGCCACATGTTGAGAATCCAATTCACTTTCACTGAAGCTAGAGTTGATTTCCATTCAAGAGATGATAATTGAGTTATTTATATAGACTTTGATGTTGATGCATGTATGTGGAAATGTATTTAGCCAATTTTTGTATCAATGCTTCATATATGCAAGGTAGTTTTCCCAATGACCCCATCTCCAGTTTTTGTCTGTTTCAAGTTGTATTTGAGTTATGTATCTATTTTATTTTACCATGGTAGATATTTTTGTAGTAGCAGTCCCAGGTTTGTCATTCCATTGAGTTTTGCATGTTGGTTTTGCTAAGAGACTAGCAAAATGTAAGTTTGGGGGTGTGATAAGCGCCGAATATTGTATATTCAAGCGCCCTAAATTGCATTAGTTAAGTTCTTTATTTGTGTATTTTATATAGATTACCTTCATATGCACGTTTTTGCATATTTTTAGGTTCATTGGCCAAAAAGAAGCAAGAAGGATGCTTTGTGGAGTTTTGAACATGAAAGGTCACAATGCTGAATTTCTGGCAGCAGTGGAACCTGGACTTTGCTCGCCATTTTGACCTTGAAAACTCGAGAACTGGACTTCCCTCATAACATGACATATTTAGATCTCTGAATCAGCTTTCCAAATCTTCAAGCGGTTTGTCATTCGGAGTTTGGAGCAGAGAGTTATGATCTTCTTATCAGAGGTGCTCAGAACTGCCTGGCCGCAATGAATTTCTGTCTTTCTCTTCAATTTCGACCAAACAGACTTGAGAATTGGATCTCTACCAAAACATAAAGTTTTTATAGCTCTAAATTAGCTTTCTAAATCTTCAAGCGGTTTATCATTCGAAGTTTGGAGCGCAAAGTTATGACTATTTTACCAAAGTAGGTCTGGGCGGAGCAAGTGAAGCATGGAGCTTTTTACACTAAATTCGAGTGCTCGAGGCCTTGCTTCAAGTGCTCGAATTTTAGGCAGATTGTTGTTCGGGAATAGCCCATTTCAGCCACTTGCACTCTACATTTACCAACTTTGGATTTCCCTATTGATGAGGTGGTTGAGGATGTCTTTTGGGGGAGAGAGAGAGGCCTTATCTATAAAAGAGAAGAGAAGGGAGGCCACAAAAAGGGATTATTCTACATTTTTGCTAGATTCGTAGAGAGAGAAAGAGGAGCAAGAGAAGGAGAGTTCTTGAAGGCAACAATGGAGTCTTCTTCTTCTTCTTCCATTTTTGTATCCATGGATAACTAAACCTCCATCTAGGGAGGTGATGAAACTCCTTCTTGTAAGTATGTGCTAGTGTAGATTTTATTTTGGGGAGAACAATGTATAGTTTTTGGTTATTTTATGATCTAGAGTATCATATTTGTTGTAATGAACTTTAATGTCTATACATGATTATTTTGAGTTATTCCTCTTGTCTTAGATGATTGCTTCTCTTAATCATAATGCTTACACTTTCATAGTGACAATGGAAGTTAGATCATGAAATGGTTTTATTGACATGAAGTTGGAGAACTTAGATAGTCCATTGCTTAGGATCCCCCTTTGATGGTCTATACTTAATTCCTAATTTTATGTGCTTTCATCATTCCATTAAGGACTTGATAATCTTGGGCTTAGGGAGCATGTGAAGGCTACACCCTAGTTTAGGTGGCTTGAGTATGTGAACCTTTGATGGATTATTCTTGTTGTTGATTTAATGAACTTCTTGAAAATACTATAGCAACCAAGTGTTGCCATGTATCATGACCATCATTTGTGTTGTTTTTCCCCAATTTAATCTTAATCTAGCATGTGTATAGGGTTGGAGTGAATTCATCTCCCTAGTTTTTTCTACCTGTATCTCACTTCTTTAATTTCATTGCAATCTATTGTTTTATGCAATTTAATTTCGTAGTTTAGTGACAAACACACAAACCCTTTGTAAACCCCTCATCACTCTAAAATGACTCTAAGTACTTAGGTTGCCTTAAGACTAGCGCAGTCCCAGTGGTTCGACTTACCCGTCCAATAGCCCTATTTTACAATGATTCGTGCTATTGCGAAGAGGGTTGATTTATAATTGATTTCGACCGTCGATCAAGTAGCTAAGCATTGTCCTAAATAATTTGTAAGTATTAACCATATAAAATAAATAATTAGAATGTTCAATTCACCCAAAATTCCAATAATCCAATCTACCAAGTGCAGTTGCTCAACACCCTAGAAAGGATCAGGTTGGATACGTATTGGTTTGGGCCTTTTGGGGTGAACCCATCGAACTTCCAGCCCTAATGGGGTGGTGGTGTTGTACCTGGCTATATGGACTCTTGTTCATGTACCCATGTTGAATGACACAACATGAGTTTTGGATATGACACAAAAACCCTTATTTGATCTCAACATCGCATCAGCACTGTATTTATTTGTTTAATTAGTTTGTTTGAACATAAAATGTTTTCTAGTAAAATATTTTTTTATAATTTTTGGTGTTTGGTTATCATATAAAATATTTTTTAAAAAAATATATTAAAACTTAACAAAAATAACTTATTTATCAATTTTCGACGAGTGCTAGATGCCGTTAATGCTACCTTTAAGTTATTTTACACATGCAACTCAATGGACTTGACCTTTACCTCGATCTAAAATTTTTGCCAAATAGTAAAAAACAAAAATAAAGAAAGATATTTTACTTAAAAAAATAAAAATATTTTAATGAAAAAAAAAATTTCCATTTAATAAGGCTTTATCTTGTATATTGAATTGCTCATGAATCTACAAGATAAAGCATTTTTACTTCCATCAAATGACTACTAGTACCACCAGTACATAGGAATGCTTTGAAATTGATACCATAAAATGATAGCATAGTTTTGATAAGTTCATTGTAAATATGATCATACCAACAAAATTTTAAAAAATTATAATAATTTAATAAACATAAAATAGAAATATTATTATAATGTTATGCATATTGATTACAAATTTAGGTTTATATATTGCTATCAACAAATAACACTCTTTCTATCACATATTTTAGATTTGTAAACAAAATTTTTTAAAATTAAAATTTATGTATACTAATCTATATCCTTATTTAATCATTTCCTATATCTAGAAATTTATAATTAATTACTATATAAAATAAGGGTAAGTGCAAAAAACACCCTTGAAGTATATCTTACATAACACTTTTATCCTCTATTTAAAAAGGTGTGCAAAAAAATCTCTATTCTTTTTAATTTGTGCAAAAACATCTTTCAATTAATATAATACCTAGTTTATCCTTTTATGCTTCCAAAAATGCCCCTACACTCATTTTCTCTTTACTTTTCTAACCCTTTTTTCTTTCTCCAAAGGAGCTGCCCACAGAGAGTCGAGCTTGGATTGAAGTGAGGCAAGAAATGGAAGTGGGTAGGTTTGGGAGCTGGAAGAGAGAGGTCTCTTTGAGGTGTTGAGAAGGGGCTATTCCGAAGAGGCTGAATAGGGCTTGGCAACAATCAGTTTTGTTAGAATCATAATTTTGGCACAGAGAAGGTGGGCAAGCCTCACGGTTTTGTGTGAGCGCCAGAGTTTGACCCATCCATCCTCTCCTTTCCCCTCTAAACCACTCACTGAAAAAAAAAAAAAAAAGAAGGCTACCATTGTTATGACAAACACTGGCAACCCATAATCACAGATTCATAATCAAGAATCAGAAGAAATGAAAATCACACAATTGCTTATAACTTTATGTTCACAGTCAAAATGGATTCGAAAAAAGATGCGTATCAATGTATTTTAGACTGTGTGAGATTGAGAAAATTTCAGGACTACAATAATCGATTATGTTACGTGAAGTCGATACACATCTGATTCTATTACACCGCGACGCGACTGCACCTTGATTACAAGCCTCTCAAACCCTTAAACCCACTATACCCTTTTTAGGCTTTTTTTCTCTCTCTATTTCAGCTTTCAGGGTTGTTTCTCTACAAAACAATACAAGCCCTAGCATCCTTATTAACTGGTTTACAACAGAGACTAGATTCGGAATCAACTAGCTGTTATGTTTTTCAACTAGCTTGTTATGTTTGTGGTCTTCAAGTTTCGATAAATATTTGGTTTTTAAATGCAATTGTTTGTGTTGGTGGCCAATATAGGCTCCACAGAACTAGACCAAAAAGTACCACAATTGTTAATCAGAGGTAAGGATGCAAATCAACCAATTAAGAAAAACCCTAATCTGATTTATTTCCGGTAGACTATTTTCTTCTGCAAGCCCTTTGAAAAACCTATCACCCTGCCAAGCAGCAGCAGCTTCCAAAAGTCTAAGTCATTTTTCTCCGTCCCAATTCCTATACATTCTTTATAGGCAATATAAAATGAAAGTTCAGCAACTTTAAGATTTTTTATTGTCACCTTTGATATTTCAAGTCCGAATTTTCGTCAAGATTTTCACATGGTCAAAATATATCAACTTAAATATACAAATAACAGCTCCATTTACATGTACACTCCCTCAACCTCACGTTTAAATTTTCAAGATGAACAACAAAACAAAGACAAGTAGATGATGAGAAGAGAGAAATTCAACCTATTAATTTGCATATATATATATATATGTATAGATATGATTGTTAAATTGTTTTAGGAAACACTTGTGTTGGATGCTGTAGATCTACTAATCCAACTCCCTGTCACAGAAACTGGTGAAGGTGACACGACCTCAACGGATTCTGGTGAAGGAGGTGGTTGTCTTCCCTTTAACACCCCAACATTGTCAATTACCTTCTCTGTCTCCTCACCTTTGCAATCTCGGCCCTGAATTTCCATCAATGTCTCCAAAACATCAACCATTGTAGGCCTCATTTCCCTCTCAAACTGCAAACACCGAAAAGCCAGCTCTGCCACTGAAGTAGTCATTCTCTGCACTTCACTATCTGACTCAAATCCGAGACTAGGGTCAATCAATTCGTTGAATGCGCACTTTTGAATCCTGTTTACTGCCAATGTAGCCAAATTAATCTCATGCCTATGCCTACCTATGTCAACTGCTGGCAATGATGATATGAGCTCAATGAGGACAACCCCAAAACTATAAACATCGCTTTTATCAGTAAGTTGGTAACATTGGTGATACTCTGGATCAACGTAGCCCGGTGTCCCCTGTGGAGCAGTTAAGACATGAGTGACATCGATTGGGAAGAGCCTTGAAAGCCCGAAATCAGCAACTTTGACACAAAAATTGTTGTCAAGGAGAATGTTGTTGGTTTTGACATCGCGGTGTATGATGTCAGAAGCATGGAGGTAAGCCAATGTAGTCGCGGTTTCTATGGCAATGTTCATCCGAATAGACCATGGGAGTGGACCGGGCTTTGCTTGATCACCGTGGAGATGGTCAGCAACTGTGCCATTGGGAATGTATTCATAAACAAGGAGCAGTTCGTGGCTATGTCGTGATGTGCAGCCATAGAGAGTGACAAGATTGTGATGGCGCAGGTGAGCCAGGATTTCTATTTCATTCTTGAAGTGCTCCACTCGCTTGTAGTTGTGCTCGTATAAGCGCTTGACTGCCACTTCTCTCCCATCTCGAAGTTTGCCTAGTCCATAAAAAAATATCAAACACTTCCCCATTTTGCACACACATACACACAAACACAAAAGCAGCAACTTAGAATTTTCTTACCATGGTATACAGTTCCAAAACCTCCTTCTCCAAGTTCTTGATTAGGATCAAAATTATTGGTTGCTTCTTCGAGTTCAGTGTAGGAGAAGACGGGGACCCCAAAGAAAATGCTACCTCCTTCAAGGTCTGCTCTTGAGGAGGGATCAGAAGAAGTGTTCCTTGAAAGGAAGTACGTAGGAAAATACTTCCACTTGTATCGACACCATATAATAAATACGAGCAAGGCAAGGATAGCAACAGATGCTGAAATAGCTGAAAAAAAAAAAATTTGTTTGAATTCAGCAATTGATTCTGAGGAAAGAAAACAAACTAAAAGCAGAGAAAAAAGAAAGTAAAAATGTTAATTTGACCGAAAGCGGTTGAGTGAAATCTTCAAAATTGAAAGTCTATTGCTCAATTATATGGTGAAGGTTACAAAGTAGACTTAGAAACAAATCTTGAAAAACTGAACACACACACACACATATATTTAATACATGCATAATCTCTTGCGAATATTATTATTTAAGGAGGTATATACCTGCTCCTACAATCAATCCATATTTTCTTTTTCCTGCAATCAATGTTAAGCAGAAATATGTTAGTTCCGGCACAAAGAAGTATGAAATCATAGTGTAGTTGGCTTACTCTTTCAACCTTAACTAAGGATCCAAAAAAATAAAATAAATAAAAATCCAGCCCCATATAAAGAACCAATTAAGGGTGTAGAAGAGAGTCCTATTGATTGAAGATCTTGAACTAGTTTGTGAGGATTACTTAATGCAGAAACATTGGGTATATATATTTATAGAAACACTCATACCTTTCTTACATTGAAACTCACGATCGATATTTAGGCATTGGCCTCCTCTGCTTCGACACTTTTTACAATCATGGGATATATGCAAATCAAGAGGGACGGTTGGAGTCAATAATGACAATGGGTCTTGGGGGTGTGGAGGAGGAGGCCATTTTACTGGCAGCTGAATAGCTGAACATTCATGGAGAAGACTATCAGGTGGAGGTTCATGATAAAAATTTGGATATTTGAAGTAAATTGAGTAGCCTTCTGTGCATTTGTAACTAGCATACTCTGTTTGAGGAGTATTGTTGCACTTGAAGAAGGTGAGATTGGGTGAGATGGTGAAGGAAACGAAAGGAAAGTCGGGAAGGACTAAATTCTTGAACGTGTCATCGCATCTATTACTAGGTATGTGATCTTCAAGCGCCGGATAATGAATTTCAAGTAATTTGTCACTTATGACAGTAACGTCATACAAGTGTTGGCTTCCTAGTTGGGCCTTTGGAACTTGTTTATGACAATCTATCACAATACCGCAATGGCCATACGTGGTATTTGTGAAAGGGAAGCTGAAGTTGTGATTTCCGCAGAGGAAGGACTGTGGGCAAGTGGGTAGGCTTTTGTTATGATCTTCAGCTGAGTGAATAAGTGCTAGATGGGAAAGAAAAACGAAAGCAAAAGTGGATGCAATAGCCATTTGAAGTTCCCAAAAAAAAAAAATGAAGAAGAAGAGGGCAGAATCAAATTCAGTTGTTTAAAACTAGTTAATTATGCCCCCCTTCTTGTTTTTGCATGTTCACAATAAATTAAGATATATATATGTTTCATCTATCTATCTCTCTATCAGCTCAAACACGCCGAGTTGACTTTGGAATTACAAATAGTCAGCCAAACACTCCAATGAAGAAGTTTCCTACTCATTTCTCTCATTGACCAGCTCTACGAAGACTCCCTGACTTTTCAAACACACACACACACACTCTCTCTCTCTCTCTCTCTCACACTCTCTCTCTCTCTCTCTCTTCTCATTTTCTAACGAAATGGCCAGAAGACTACTGTAGATTTTTAGGCTTGTTTGAAATGTCAAAACTAACAATAGAACACACAACAATTTAATTTAATATTTCAACGATCTTTTTTTTGGTCTCTCACAATAATTTAATTTAATTTAATATTTCAATGATCTTTTATTTATTTATTTATTTGGTGCTCAATCAAGCTAAGGTTGTATATTTTTTAGATGGGAAGGGTGACAAAAATTTGATTGTTTTTATATTTTGTATAGTGAAAATAATATACTTAGATTTGTCATTCTGAAAATAATTTTCAATAATTTAGAAAATAGAAAATAATTTTTAGAGAATAATAAAATAGAGTTCTCTGAAAACAGTCTTTTTAGAATTGAGTTTTTAGAAATATATTTTAAGAAACTGAGTTTTTAGAAACATATTTTAGAAAAGTAAAATTTTTTATACAGTTTTTTATTTCAATTTTCTAAAAACCGAAAACTATTATCAAAATTACAAACCAAGGAAGGCCATATATAGTTTGCCGATATATTGTATATTACTTGTGAATCCTTGGCTCTAAAAACTGTGTACTCTGCAAAGACTCAGAATTTAAATTAGTTCCTTATGCTTGACATGAATTTATATCAGCGCTTGGTGCATCTATATGGATCATAGTGGCTGTATCAATTGTTTAAGCTTTTAAAAATAGAATAGTTAATTGTAGGACACCCTCCTTACGCACACATATATATTATACGTAGATACTATTTTACCAGGACTAAACCTAAGTGATATCATTTTTTCTAATGAGAGGTTGTGGATTCATGTCTCTTTACGATAGTGAGCGTGACTTAGCCATTAAAAAAATAAAAATAAAAAAAAATAAAAATAAAAGGAGGAGAAATTTCTTTAAATGCATCTCTTGGTTGCAATAGATATTGGCCATGTTGGGATTTATATGCCCTGGCATAACAAATTCCTATCTGGATTATAGTGACATATGTTCCTGACATATCTGAAATATTTATGATTTATATAATTGGTGAATTCAATGTATTATGTTTCGATTCACTATGAAATTGATAGTATCCTTGTAATTACAAGAAATATTTATATATATGTATGTGATGACAATCAATGCATGATATATAAATAGTAATTATAAATTGTTCATAGTCGGTAATTATGGATGGACTCATAATTAATTAAGACTTGAACTGGATCCGCTTAGGTTGAAATATATTGCGAGAGTCGTTGTATGCAATTACTCCCTATCACCGTCATGGCATTTGACTCTTAAGCATGAGAAAAGTATAGACTCTTTTATTAATTAATAATTACTTTGATTTGTTCGGCGGATTCTTCGGGATCCTTAGACCGACACTTTGAGTAGTTATGTAATTAATAGTTAGAGGGTTATATTTTCAATATTTGCATCATTGCTACTTGTATTTATTTTGTATTGATTATGGTTGATCACAAAGTAAATTCGAAGGCCTTCGTGTGTTTTTAGACAAAATGATTTATTATATATTTATTTATTTAAATTATTATTTTTGTCAAACAAATGTTTTATTGTGATCGAACCAGAAATAATCAGAGGTACCAAAATAGATATATTAATTAAGTAGTCGGATTGATGGCTTTATTTATCCGATAACTAATTATGCATAGAGGGGTCAAAGTGCAATATTGACTTAGAGGTTATTTATTATTTAATTGGAGTTCAATTAATTTCTTTTAGTGGAGTAGAAATTAATTTATGAATTAATTGAATTGGGTCCATGGACCGGGCCAATTATTAATTCATTGTAGCCAATAAAATAATAGGCCCAATGGATTCTCACTCATAGCCCAACTTGATATTGGAATCATATTAGATTTGAGACATATGAATTAGAGATGAAGAAGGATTTGTTGTTTCCTTTTCTTTATTTTTATATTGCCTGTAAATATACATGGTCTATGTATATTTTAGGGGGTGATTTTTGGTAGAAGGAAAAAGGAATATATATTTTCTCTCTCTAGAAAATTAGGGTTTATGTTTTCATCTAATGGAGGCTCCCACAAGCTTAGTTTTCCAAGGTCATTCATGGAGGCATATGAGTGATTCCTAAAGGCAAAACAATTACCAAGAAGATGGAGATCCATGGAAAAGGTGTCTAGCAAAATGGATCTACAATAAGTGAGAACATTCACTTTAGAGGAGAGATTTAAGGTTTACTCAAACCTTGATGTAAGTATTCAATCTTTTAATTGAATGATAGATCATATTTTATTTTTGCATAAAACTTGTCTCTATGTGATGAATCAAGATCTGTGAAAGAAAATCCCTCAAAAAGTTTTTAAAACTTACACGTTTCCCAACAGTGGTATCAGAGCATGGTTTGATTCATTACTAGAGATCATGATTTTATGAAACTCATCATTCATGGATCCAAAATTATATTCATATATATTTTTATTGATTTATGTTGATGTATGATTTAATATGTTGATATATATTGATACATGATGATGTATGAATAATTGTGAATGAATGATGATGTATGGTTGGGCCATGGATGAAGCTTATAGGAATATTGAATGTAATTTTATCTTTGGATGAATGTGATTAAGGTTTTGATTTAGCCGTTTGAAAGTTCAATGATGTAATTTATTTTTCCCATTGTATTTCAAGTTGTAAATATTTTTAAAGCCATGTAATATTCATCAAAGGATGCTATGAAGCTTCAAGAAGGTCCAAAAGGGTTAAATTATGCTTCAGTAATTTTCTGGAATTTTTCTGAATTTTTTGGAATTTTTCTGGAATTTTTTGAGGCTTAATTTAATTTTCTGGGAATTTTTCTGATTTTTCTGGAATTTTTCGGCGTTTTTCCGGTGGCCGGAGCATCGCCGACGGCGAGAAGAGGCGTCGGAGGAGGCTGGAATCAGATGTAGTGCATAGGAGGTGAGCCTGGCGCGTGAGGAACACGCGCCAGGAGGTGACATATGCTGGCGCGTGCATTGCACGCGCCAGCCAAGGTTGTATGGCCTCCACGCGCGTGCAGGCACGTGGAGGCGCGTCCCACGCGCCCTACGAGCGTGCCAGCGCGTAGGGGCGCGTCCCACGCGCCCCAGGCGCGTGCCAGCGCATGGGGGCGCGTGCCTTCACCTGCAACATGCCCCAGGCGCGTGTGAGCGCGTGTGGGGCCCTCCAGGCGAGTTCCAAGCGGTGTTTTGCTTCTCCTGGTGCGTACCAGCCTTATGTGGGTGTTTGCAAGCTGATGGATGATCAACCGCGATACTTAGAGTAGTTAAATGTTAAAAGCTGATTCCATTGGCCGTTTTATTTGTTTTATCTGTTATTTATTTATTTATGCAATGTATGGAATGCATAGAATATATAATTGTTAATTAATTATTATTCATGCATTGGATCCATGATATTTATTTAAATAGCTTGATTTATATTAATTAAGTTATGAAAATTAATTGGATCTGATTACTATTTAATTTGAGGGCACTTATTGGGAAACGCAAAATTATTTTTTATAAATTATTTTTTTAAAGTGTGCTTTAAATTAAATATTAGTGAATCGTTTAAAGTCCAAACATTTTCTAAATTTAATTGGATTAAAATTAAGACGTTTTGCATGCATTATATTATGTAAATGAATAAAATGAAAACCCTAATTATGAATGATTAAAAATTGAGTGGGAGCGGGGATTTTTATACATTGCCCCATGGCCTTCGTTATTAATACCATTGTAATTAGATCTTCAAAATAAGGCCCCACGCATGATTTGAAGAGTCTTAATATTACAAGAATGGTTGTCTCATGAAAATACAAATATTAAATGTTCATTGTAATTAGATATTTAAAAATAAGGCCCTACGCATGATTTAAAGAGTCTAGATTATAATGACAACATATTTAATGTTTAATTTTTCGTTAGAGTTTTAATAACGTTATACACTCAATCTAAAATCAATAGTGTTAGCTTCCCAACGAAGTGGTCTACACTAGGTGATTTTAGAAAGGCTAAATTAATTCGGGAATCATTTCATATGATAGATAAGGCATTGTCTTAAGAGATATGGAAATGATGGGATTTACCCGCCAATAGCAATAATGAATTTCGCCAACCGAATAAGTTATTGGCGTATTGGTTATTCGATTTTTCATGCAGTGGTTAAGGGACCCACATATTATTATTTTAATGGAAGTGCTTGCCTAATAGCAAATGAATTTCAATAATAGTAATAATGAACTCCTCCAACAGGATAAGTTATTGACTTATAGAATTGGTTGATTTATTATGCTACAGAGTTGAGGGACCCGCATTAATTAAAAGGGATTGTTCACCAATAATAATAATGATCTCTTGTTCGATTGAGATTTATTGTATTATGTGGTTAACAAGCTCATTTTAATTTTAAATATGCATGACAGAATTAATAATTCACCTTGCATATTGTATGAATGCATTTATATTCAGATTATTTATGTCTTATCAATTTTATCGGCTTGCTGACATATTCAATGTGTTTGGACCTCATTAATATTGACTGGGAAAAGAATTTAGATATTTTATTCACAACGTAAGGGTACAAACGTATTTACTACTCCTAAACCTAATCCTTTTACTTTAAGATACCCAAGAGAACATTAATGCTTTGAATAAGTGAAATAAGGCAAATGAGATGACTTGGTGCAATATTCTAGAGTTTATCTCGAATACGCTCCAAAACTAACATTTACATTATTTTATTTTCTTTAAGCATCATGTTAAATGTCAATATAATGTTTTGGTGAGATTAGATAGGGCTTATGCCTACGTACTATGTCAAACTTGAACACC